ATGAAAAATCCTGTCATAAGAGATTCGAAAGACCATGAAGAATCCAGTCATGATAGACAAAAACACAAAAAACAAAAAATCCCAGTCGAGTCACCAAACCAATCTTTCTTTCCCTCAGGATTCTTCAAAGTAGCCCACTACATCAGGCTCTCCGACGACACACGAACCTGGAGGAGCAGCCAGGAGCCTCCGTCCGCGAACAACGACAATCCAGAGGTCCTGCAGTTGTTTGTACATGTCTGGAACTTGTTAGAACCCGAGCCACCGAGACTCGTCATCTCTTTCACGGGAGACGAAAAGAGATTTAGTCTCGAAGGGGTTAAGAAGAAGACTTTTATGGCCGGGCTGATGAAGGTGGGTATATACTTCTATTCATTGAATATATTCAGCGGATCCACTAAAAGTATCCGTCTACCATAAACTTTGATTCCTTCCCTGCGGTCTTTCTTTGATTTGTTTATTGGTGTTCAATCTGGAATCGATAGGCAATTTCTTATTCGAAATCAGAGCTAATGAATTTTCTTTATAAATACTCCCTGTGTTATTGCATCATCGACTTTCGCTTGTAATACCGAGAGTAAGAATATAAAATAGCAGAGCATTAAAGGTCACATGATAAAGAATGTTATTTTGCGGTTTATGATGTTTTAGATTTTATATGAAGATGGAATCTATAACTCTTTATGGTAATTTCTTATAAATGCATCGACTCCTACAGCTATTACCTTTTCACGGAATACTTTCCCATTTATGTTGCCACTAAAATATCCCTTACAGCATATTCTACTAAATTTGCCATATATGAGAAACAGTGTAATTCTAGATAACTTACACTAACATGTAACGAAATTTTCTGCCTATTTTTTTATGTATTGTGTACAGACTGTAGAGTCAACGAATGCCTGGCTGTTGACCGATGGAAGTGACTCAGGTCTTGCGAAGGTGGTGGGGCAGACAGTCAGTCAGATGCAGACCATAACTGAGGTATGGACAGGTGTGTGTGTGTGTGTGTGTGTGTGTGTGTGTGTGTGTGTGTGTGTGTGTGTGTGTGTGTGTGTGTGTGTGTGTGTGTGTGTGTGTGTGTGTGTGTGAGCGTGTGTGTTAAGGGGAGAGAGAGCGATGTGTGTGTATGTGTTTCTGTGAGAGTGTGTGTGTATGCGTGTGCGTGTGTGTGTGCGTGTGTGTGTGTGTGTGTGTCGGTATTAATATGTTCTGTGTTCCAGGTTGATGGTCGTCAGATGCCCCAGATTAAGTGCATCGGCGTTACTTCCTACAGTTCCTGCAAGAACAAGGACAGTATGCTGAATACAAATGTGAAGAACAGAAACAAAAAACATTTGTAAGTAATCATGTACTACCCAATTTATCCATTTGTATTCCTTGTAGCACACACACACACACACACACACACACAACACACACACACACACACACACACACACACACACACACACACACACACACACTATACACATTATACATACACATACATACATACATAATACATACATACATACATACATACATACATACATACATACATACATACATATTATATATACTATATAATATATATATATATATATATATATATATATATATACATAAATCCTCCTTCTCCCCCAGTTACGAATCGCCCACCTGCGCCCAAGATGGCGACCTGGTCCTCAACAGCGACCACACGCACTTCCTCCTTGTGGACAACGGGCTTCACTCTCCCTCCTCCGCCTCGGTTGACAGCTTCCGGTGACTAAGTGAACGAGAGTCTTTGTTTGTTGTTTATTCGATATTGTTGATTTATTTGGATGTGTTGATTTGGTTACATGATGTTTCATTTGTTATCTTATTTTTATTGTACCTATCATTGTTATTATTGTCATTATTGTTATCAATATAATTCTTTGGGCTACTTTGTTGCTCTTGTTGTTATTTTCAAAATCATTATCATTATTATTATCATTATTATTATCATTGTTGTTTATTCTATTTCCTTTTCTGCATTGACGAAAAATATTTTCTTCACTCTCTCTCTCTCTCTCTCTCTCTCTCTCTCTCTCTCTCTCCTCTCTCTCTCTCTCTCTCTCTCTCTCTCTCTCTCTCTCTCTCTCTCTCTCTCTCTCTCTCTCTCTCTCTCTCTCTCTCTCTCTCTCTCTCTCTCTCTCTCTCTCTCTCTCTCTCCCTCTCTCTCTCTCTCTCTCTCTCTCTCTCTCTCTCTCTCTCTCTCCTCTCTCCTCCCTCCCTCTCTCTCCTCTCTCCTCCCTCCCTCTCGCCTCCCTCTCTCTCCTCTCTCCTCCCTCCCTCTCTCTCCTCTCTCCTCCCTCTCTCTCCTCTCTCCTCCCTCCCTCTCTCTCCTCTCTCCTCCCTCCCTCTCTCTCTCTCTCTCCTCTCTCTCCTCTCTCCTCTCTCTCCTCCCTCTCTCTCTCTCTCTCCCTCCTCTCCTCTCTCCTCCCTCTCTTCTCCTCTCTCTCCTCCCTCTCCTCCTCTCTCTCTCTCTCTCTCCTCTCTCTCCTCTCCCTCTCTCTCTCTCTCTCTCCCTCTCTCTCCTCTCTCGCCTCCCTCTCTCTCCTCTCTTCTCTCTCTCCTCTCTCCTCCCTCTCTCTCTCTCTCCTCCCTCTCTCCTCCCTTCTCTCTCTCTCCTCCTCTCTCTCCTCTCTCTCTCTCTCCTCTCTCCTCCTTCTCTCCTCTCTCCTCCTCTCTCTCCTCTCTCTCTCTCTCTCCCTCTCCTCCCCTCTCCTCTCTCCTCCCTCTCCTCTCTCCTCTCCTCTCTCCTCCCTCCCTCTCTCTCCCTCTCTCCTCCCTCTCTCTCCCTCTCCTCCCTCTCTCTTCCCTCTCTCCTCCTCTCTCTCCTCTCTCCTCCCTCTCTCTCCTCTCTCCTCCTCTCTCCTCCCTCTCTCTCCTCTCTCTCTCTCTCTCTCCTCTCTCTCTCCCTCTCTCCTCCTCTCTCCTCCCTCTCTCTCCTCTTCTCTCTCCTCTCTCCTCCCCCTCTCTCCTCTCTCCTCCTCTCTCTCCTCTCTCTCCCTCTCTCTCCTCTCTCTCTCCTCTCTCTCTCCTCTCTCCTCTCCTCTCTCTCTCTCTCTCTCCCTCTCTCCTCTCTCCTCCTCCCTCTCCTCTCTCTCCTCTCTCTCTCCCTCCTCCCCTCCACTCTCTCCTCTCCCTCTCTCTCCTCTCTCCCTCCCTCTCTCTCTCTCTCCTCCCTCCCTCTCTCTCCTCCTCTCTCTCTCTCTCCTCTCTCCTCCCTCCCTCCTCTCTCTCCTCTCCCCTCCTCTCTCTCTCCTCTCTCTCCTCTCTCCTCCCTCTCCTCTCTCTCTCTCCTCTCCTCTCTCTCCTCCTCCTCCTCCTCTCCTCTCTCTCCCTCCCTCCTCTCCTCTCCTCCCTCCCTCTCTCTCTCTCTCCTCCTCCCTCTCTCTCCTCTCCCTCCTCCCTCTCTCTCCTCTCTCCTCCCTCCCTCTCTCTCCTCTCTCCTCCTCCCTCTCTCTCCTCTCTTCCTCCTCCCTCTCTCTCCTCCCTTCCTCTCTCTCTCCTCTCCTCTCTCTCCTCCTCCTCTCCCCTCCTCCCTCTTCTCTCCTCCCCTTCTCTCCTCTCTCTCCTCCCTCTCTCTCCCTCTTCCCTCCCTCCCTCTCTCTCCCTCTCCCTCCCTCCCTCTCTCTCTCTCTCCTCCTCCCTCTCTCTCCTCTCCCTCCCTCTCTCTCTCCTCTCTCCTCCCTCCCTCTCTCTCCTCTTCTCCTCCCTCTCTCTCCTCTCTCCTCCCTCCCTCTCTCTCCTCTCTCTCTCTCCCTCTCTCTCTCTCTCTCCCTCCCTCTCTCCCTCTTTTCCCTCGCTTTATAACCGCCACGATGACACAAATTATCATTTATTTCGTTTTTACACAAATTTAAACAGTTTTCCTTATCAAATAACCTCCGGAAACTGTAAACGTCACAAAAAAAAGTAAAAAAACAATGAAAATAAACAAAGAATAAAAAATAAAAATCCACGCTAACCTACCCTCCTCACCTCTACCCTTTTTCCCGCCAGGACGCGCCTCGAAGAATCCCTCTGCATTCCGAGTCCCAGGGGTTTGGAAGTCCCTGTGGTCATGCTGCTTCTCGACGGCGGGGTGAGGGCGATAGACAGGTGCTTGAAGGCCCTGAAGAGGCGTGTTCCTGTGTTGGTGGTGCAGGGTTCTGGCGGGGCGGCGGACCTGCTGGCGGACTTCACCGTGAACTATTTACCGTTGAGTCGGGGGTAAGAACCTAAAATATATCTTAGTTTTCATTTTAATTTTTCTAATATTAATACTACTTCTAGTGCTACTACTTCTTCTTCCTTATTTATTTGTTTGTATCTATGTTGATCGAGGCGAAGATACTCTTAATAACAAAGTGATGATGGTCATGTGATATACGACGGGTAAGATATAATAATTATTTAGAATATCAACGGTGTTATTCGGACAGTAAAATCAACTACAAACCATTGTATTCTAATATCTGATTGAAAAGTTTATTATGCCCTTTCTTCATATTGATGTTTAATTTTTTCTTACCTTTTTGAATAATATGATATTGCTCCTCAATTCCTATTTTTTTGTCAATTCCCCAGCTGCGATGAGGAAGAAGAGCTACTACAGAATATCTACTCTAAGGTACCAACTTACATATACGACTTGGACGAGAAACAACTCATGGTAAGTGTGTGTGTGTGTGTGTGTGTGTGCGTGTGCGTGTGCGTGTGCGTGTGCGTGTGTCTGTGTGTGTGTGTAATTATATATCCTGTGAAGAGCTACATGAAGATTATCATTTTCTTGATCGTGTTGCCTTTAACTGTATTAACCTAAATTTCCCTTTTTTTTTCTCCCAGGAATGTGCCAAAAAAGTTCTGGAATGTTGCAAGCTAGAAAATAAAATAACAATATATAACATAGACACTGACTCAAGCTTAGACAAGTCGATTCTCACTGCTCTCAGAACAGGTAACTGCTACAAGGACTGTTGAATATTATATAATGGTGTAAAGTTCAATAGTTATGCAACTCTGCAGGTAATAGCATTATCAAACTACCTAGAAACTTGTCTGAATGTTTAGCAACCGATAAATCAATGATAAATGCTGACCGGCGTTGCTCCACTTTCAGTTAACGTAACATTTTCTTTACCACAAGAAAAATATAAATAAAGACTAAGAATTTCAGATCTAACGCGTTTTTTTTTCTATGCAACGTGGGGATATCCTGAATCGTTCAATTCTTTCTGTCACATTTTCATAAACCTTCTTCTTTTTTCTTCTTCTTTTTTGCCTTTCCCTTCATCCAGGGAAAGCCAACCCTGCGGACGAGTTGAGGTTAGCCTTGGAGTGGGACCGCGTCGACGTGGCTGAAAGTTGTCTGAATGCAGGTGAGTATCTGAGAATTTCTTGTGCCAGTTAGAATTGAAAATAACCATAAAACAAGCTGAAGGGAAGTAAAACATATGATGTTTAAAGGTTACGATAATTTATAATTACAAAATTTATTCGCCATATTATGAAATACTTGCACATACTTTTGTGTATGTATATACACGCGAATAAGGGCATAGTTAAGTTTTCCCGTTCTTCCATTCGTTGTTCTAGTTACAAACTGCTTGTTTACGAAGCTTTCACATGTGTCTAACGTTGGCAATGGCGAGGCGCGGGAATAATTTTACACTAGGTAGAGTTTTTTTTCTTCACAATTCTACACATACAGATTCTCACATTAGATATTTAATTCTCCTTTCGCCGTGACTTTCATCACCACATCAAAAGAGTCGGATCTCAAAGTATCTTTTCAGAGATCGACAACTTGAGTGAAGTCATGAGACTGGCGCTGCTGGAGGAAAAGGTCGATTTTGTCGATCTTTTGCTCACGTCGGGGTTCGTGATGTCGAGTTTCCTGACGGTGGTGGAACTGAGGAACCTTTATAATCTCACGGTGGGTTCCATGCACATTCTGGGATTGTTTATAATTTTAATAAGTGAGGACAAGGTAATGACTTTATCATCAACTGGAATCCACATATTGCATACTTTTCATGTGATGTGATTTTTTGCTATGTTACATACCTTTTTATTTCATTAATCATTTAATTTTTTTTCCTGTTTCGTTTACATGCAGTAACAAAATTACACCAGCACATCATACCCTGATATTCTATGCTCACAAATATCACTATTATTGTTATTGATAATATTGTCGAAGCGAAGATACGTGCCAGTTTTGTTACTGACAGGTTTGTGATAATAGCAATTTGATAACTGGCTGGTTGGTAATGGCAGTGATTTGATGATTAACATGTTGGTGATGATGATTATTTGAAAGAAAACTCTTATTCGACCATGTTGCATTAACCAGTCATACGGGACGTCTCAAAGCCACTATCTATATCCGAAAAAAACGAAAAGAAAAATTAATGACGGCCTGATTTCCCCCCACCTTTCAGAAACCGAAAGCACACAACCGGGAACTCCTCTGTCTGAAGAAAAAAACGAAAAGAAAAATCAATGAAGGCCTAATTCACCCCTTCCTTTCAGAAACCGAAAGCACACATCCGGGAACTCCTTGGACACGGGAACGACGACAAACCGCTGAAGTTAAACGACGTCCACAAACTCCTGAAGCAGGTCGTCAACTCCCATTCTCACCGCTACTACCGAGACACGAACAACCTCTTCGACTTCTGTTCGACGATTAACAAAATTACGTTCGAGGTCAGTGGAAATCTGCGAGCCATCGTGGAGAAAAAGCGAAAGGCGATAGTGTTCTAAGGGGATTGGAGCGTACTGGGGAATCAGTACAATTATAGGCCTATACTTATTATAATACTGATAGATTAAACAGTAGTAACGTGAATTAATAATTCTGACAGATTAAACAGTAATACCATGTGTATTCGTAACAGTATAAGCATTTATAGAATGGTAATGTTATCAATAAAGTATTCTGAAAACCGTTGCTGTAGGATTGTTTTCCTAACTTCACTTCACACTTTCTTTCAGGACCCATATCTCGAGCTGCTGATCTGGGCCATTCTAACTCGGAGGAACAACCTGGCCAAGTACTTGTGGAAGACTTGTAATTACCCTCTAAACACTGCTATTGTGGCCACGTGTATCTACCAAGGAATCAGAGACAAAGTTACCGATAGCGCCGTCAGAGCGGAGTGCAAAGCTATGAAGGATCATTTTGAAACCATAGCTATAAAAGTAAGATTTTCCCCCTCGTTTTCCCTTCGTCAGCTGCAGCTTCTTTCTTTTTTTCGAAATGGGTTGGTTATTCTGGGAGTCAAACAGTATATGGTTATGAATTAATACGTAGTTAAAGCAATGGATTAGTGGCATTTATGAGTGTGTGCCTGTTTGTGTTAGTATGCGTGCTCAAAATTCGTTCGAGTGGAAAGGGACGTGTATAGTTGATAAAATGTACACACCAAGGGCGTCGTTTCAGCTTTTTCTTGGGCGGGGGGAAGGTTGGCGAGTTAAGTGAGAAAAAATATTGGAAAATTA